GTGTGTGTGGTATATACACCGGAGAGTGTGTGTGTGTGTGTGGTATATACACCGGAGTGTGTGTGTGGTATATACACCGGAGTGTGTGTGTGGTATATACACCGGAGTGTGTGTGGTATATACACCGGAGTGTGTGTGGTATATACACCGGAGTGTGTGTGGTATATACACCGGAGTGTGTGTGGTATATACACGGAGTGTGTGTGGTATAAAACACCGGAGTGTGTGTGGTATATACACCGGAGTGTGTGTGGTATATACACCGGAGTGTGTGTGGTATATACACCGGAGTGGTGTGTGGTATATACACCGGAGTGTGTGTGGTATATACACCGGAGTGTGTGTGTGGTATATACACCGGAGTGTGTGTGTGGTATATACACCGGAGTGTGTGTGGTATATACACCGGAGTGTGTGTGGTATATACACCGGAGTGTGTGTGGTATATACACCGGAGTGTGTGTGGTATATACACCGGAGTGTGGTATATACACCTGTGTGTGTGTGTGTGTGTGTGGTATATACACCGGTGTGTGTGTGTGTGTGGTATATACACCGGTGTGTGTGGTATATATACCGGAGTGTGTGTGGGATATACACCTGTGTGTGTGTGTGGTATATACACCGGAGTGTGTGTAGTATATACACTGAGAGTTTACTTTGATCCTATTTTAAGGATTAAGTATTCTTGATTGGTGGTGTACAGATGACATGCAGCCTTGAGTATAGTGCAGTCGATAAGCTATAAACTTACCCAACCAACCAGCTGATCATGACATTGATCTTGCTACGGGGGTAGACTACTTTATTCTTCGTGTGTTGAGCTTGTGATGACATCCTACTAGCTTTACGTGCCTCCTTAAAATTCACCAAATTTATTCCATAACTGTCAATCTTACTTTTGTAACACCTCAAAATCATCATAAGCATTTGAGTACATGCTAGCGTCTTCTGCTGACAACACCGTAGGACCCAGTGAAGATGTTAAGTGTTTTCCCTACACTTATTGCCTCCTTTCACGTAGTAGTAAGTGCCTGGGTGCTAGTCGACTGCTGTGGGTCGCATCATGATGAAGACGACCATAGGACCCAATGAAAATAAACCATATGGATCAACTTTCTTAGGCCTCTGGGTTATTAATCTGAATCAAGTCGGAGGACGTGGATACGTAATGATAATTACGAGCTTTGGTTTTAGTCACGAGGCCAACGCACTGGAATTCACAATACTTAAGTTTCGGCTGCTTCGCGATCTGATAGAAGTATCCCCGGTATCCCATAACTGCAGTTCCGTGTACTTAAATGCACACAGGAAGGATAGTTGTACCGGAGCAGACTAAGCTGAATTAGTCTAGTTTCACCACACCGAAGAAGCAATCGTCATTATTTTCCACTATTGTTTTCGTAGTTAATTTACTTACCAATGCTCTACAAATTTTTATATTTACATTTATTTTTTAATGCTCCACAATCTTAAAAAAAATATTAAAAAAAAAAAGTTGCTACAGGGCTGTCACAGCTACAATAATACATGGGCATAAGGGTTAAAATAAAATAGGTACCTACCGAGTCCTCTTCCAATCTGAACCTTCTTCTAGGATACACCAGCATAAAAATCAGAGGCCGACCAGGAGAGATATTCTCTGCTTATTGCATGGACACTAGTTTCAATAAAATTGGCAAATTGGGACTTAGGGCCCAGGAACAATCATAGACCTTTTTTTCCCCCTCCAAAGTTATACTAATGTTTAAAGTTTGTAGCCGATAGGACACTGCGTTCTCAAAGAAAAAATAAAAGCAACTCGCTACATTATTATTATAATCAAGGGGGAAGCGCTAAACCCGTAGGATTATACAGCGCCTGGGGGGGGGGATGTGGAAGGCATTCAGGCTTAATTCGGGGAACTGGAGCACAGATCCAATTCCCTAAATCAAGAGCCCCTCACCAACATCAAGGAACCTTCCATGAGGGGCAACTCGCTACAGATATCCTCTTTCAGGGGCTTTCCTATATTATTATTTTGTTGTTGTTTGCAAAAGTTTTGCTAATCTAGGAATCCACTTTGGGTCTTGAAAAATTAATTAGCCTTTTTCCGAGAGGCAATATATGTTGTTGTGGGGGGGGGGGGTAATCTTTTCCTCTATAAGCTCCCGTGCAATTTAAGAACGCCTCTTCTGATCGGCTTCAAACTTGTAATTGGTGCATTCGACTTGAAGATAGCTTCTGATTGTTATTGAAGTGTAAGGCGACAATTTTATTTTTAACCCATAAACTGTTTCATTATTTGTAGTTTTGCTAGCCATGTTTTGCTCAGGTTTTTTTTTTAATAATTTTTTTTATAAGACTAGAGCATTAAAAACCGAACGTAACTACGTAAATAAAACTGAAAAATAATAAACTTTACTTTTCGTGGCATGTCAAAGTTTACTTAGTAAAGTAAGCTTCTTGGTTGTTGAATCAAAAGCTTCTGTGCCTTTTAAGTGTTGATCCCTAGCTCCTGAACCTCTTGGAAAAGTTGAGCTATAGCTCCAAGGTCTCCGGGTGGGGGATTTAAGTTGCCGGTCTTCTTACTCTTGAGGGTTGTAAAAAACTACGGTATCCTTTTCTTGTATTGAGATGCTGAGGATGGGGGATGATATGAAGGATAAATATCAGATCGCGTGACCATGAAAACATAACTAGTTATTAACATATTAAGCTATTACTCATGCTCATTTGAAGTTTTACTCTCCTGAAGTACAAATCATTGAACATTCAGAAATGCTAAGAGGGCTACAATATTGATTTGTATTTATACTTAAACAGTTTTTAAGCATCTAAAAAACATATATTGCGGAATTTATTTCGTAAGAAGTTTCTTAAAAAAATCACACATAATATGAGACTTTAAAGGTAAATATGTTTTCTATAACCGTATATGAGAGGGGAAGAGGCAGGTTGTTGCCAAGCTTGCCAGGCGGTGGTAGGTTGGTTATTTTCAACACGGCTGCCCGAACGGAGGTGGGAAATAGTGTCCTATCATTCATCACCCCGCCCACTCTCCATGGTATTCTGCATCTGCATTACCCTTTACCAGCACATACTATCTGTGCTCTTTAACTTTGTCGTCAGTAAGGTCAACGCACTACCTTCCACACTAACAAACACTGCGTCTCCCACGGCTCGTAGCTTGATTGCTAGCGCACCGAGGTCCTAGGGTCGATCCCCCGGTACGGCTGGAAAACAGGACGTGTTTCCATAAGACACCTGCTGTCTGTGTTCCCGATCAGTAAAATGGGTACCTGGGTGTTAGTCGACTGGTGTGGGTCACGTCCTAGGACAATATTGACGTAATTTGCCCGAAATACTCTACATAACAAGCGGTTTTCTATACAGTAGTATGTAATTGATGTCTTCTAGGCCTGTATACCTTGTACATGTACTTGTAGAAATAGATATATTATTACAGCAACGCTTTCACGGTTATAATCCTAGGAGGAGAAAATAGCTATAGTGCTTGCAAGCTAGTGTTCTTAGTCAAACGGAATGCGTAAGACTTGAGGAGTTCTGTTTGCAGAAATTTAAAATAGACAACAGTGCATGTGTTCGCAGTAAAGTTAATAAGATTCTTGGCTTTATATCCAGAAGTATTCTTAATAAGTCAGAAGTCTAAACGTGTGCATAATCGTTAAACATGTGCATACTCGCTAAACACGTGCAGGCTCACAAAACACGTGCATAATTACTGAATATATGCAGGCTCACGAAACTCTTGTATACTTATTAAACACCTGCAAATTCACTAAACACGTGCCGGCTCACTATACAGTACAGGCTCTATAAACACAACACACGTTCTGACTCGCTAAACACAGATGGAAAAAGTGGATGTGGAAAAATCTGTTATGCAAACAAGAGAGAAATGGAACCTCCTCAAGGAAGAAAATAAATAAAAGCGTGCATGGCGTCTCAAAATGTTTCAGATAGAAAATAAAAAACATGATAGGTATTTAGCACAGAGCCGACCATGGTGTTAGCAAACCACGGCCGTTCTTTCAGGAACTTTAGTTCTTCGAGTTCTTACTGTGTTTTGACGCTGGGTAAAACTTCTTTTCATAAAGTTAGATATCGTGCTCTAAATGCGCCTATTTATCTATCTATATATAATTATTTTTAGGAATTTTACGAGCCCGCGTTGAAAGTGTGGTGGGATAATGAATCACAGCAACAACACAATCGTAATACACCACCACAAAATAACCCCTACCCAAAACACACCCATAAAATGTACATCAGTGCAGCACTGCAATAGTGCAGTACTGTAACAATGCAGCACGCAACATAATACAACGCAACGCAGTGCACTAAAGCAATACTGTACCGCAGTACACGGGCCACAACACGCAGTACACGGGCCACAACACGCAGTACACGGGCCACAACACACAACACGCAGTACACGGGCCACAACACGCAGTACACGGGCCACAACACGCAGTACACGGGCCACAACACGCAGTACACGGGCCACAACACGCAGTACACCGGGCCCAACACGCAGTACACGGGCCACAACACGCAGTACACGGGCCACAACACGCAGTATACACGGGCCACAACACGCAGTACACGGGCCACAACACGCAGTACACGGGCCACAACACGCAGTACACGGGCCACAACACGCAGTACACGGGCCACAACACGCAGTACACGGGCCACAACACGCAGTACACGGGCCACAACACAGAACTCTCCGCCACAAAATACGGACACAGTAGAGCTGTTACACTGAAGCATACAATACTGGGTTACGTCAGTACATAACCAAACACACGGCTGCTACAATGCAACACAGCATTATTTCACATAACACAGTATACTAGTACTACATCCCATTACCTCATCACAACATATCACCAAGCCACAACAGTGAAACTCGGTACACCACCTTCCCCATACGATATCATATATGCTACACTAGGCTTCGTCGACTACATAAAAATAGGTCAGTGACTCACGTGTTGAAGTGTGTGTGGATGGGTGTGAGAATGCAGTAGACAAGAGATGGTAGGTTTGCTATACACCTCACGACTAGTGGTATCTCACTGTGTTAGTCCAGAGCACGTACCGGCTACCCCACCAATCCCACACGGGAAAGATAACACTGATATTACATCAACAATCTTATCTTGTAACACACCTTATCGTAATTTGTTAGAATGATGGTGAAGCAGTGACTCGTGTGTGAATCATTGAGGTGCTACTAGAACGTTATGATTGTGGAATGCCTCCCAACCCCTCCCCCCAGTGTCGCTTAATCCTATATTCATATATCTCCCTTGCAGTTTCTCTTTGTATATACACGCATTAGTACTTTTTCAATAATTGCTGATATCTTATTAACACTATTTTGACTCGAATGTGATTTAGAGATTGTGGGGTTCAATCACTGCATTTTTTTCTGCAGGTATTTTAGTAATTTTTTTTTTTATATAAATTCCTAAACCTCAATGTTCAATTGTGTCAAAGATATTAATTACAATAACATTATCACTGTCCAACTGTTAATTTTTTATACTTATGCAGTAGTTACTGTAATAAAGAAAAGAATGATTCTCATAGTTTAGTCAACGACTACAAAACTATAAATATTCTTTATCAGAGTTCAGTGCTGCTGTCATGGAGCTTTCAGAACTAGTAGCTGCAGGGACCTTCACTTTAGATTCTGGGAAATAACAGACGAGGTGGCCTTACACTATGGGAAACTAAGCATGCAGAAGGAGGCTAGAAACAAGAAGTGTAAAAAAATGAATCACTTACCGTGGGTTCAGTCCTCGCCCGTTCCTTGGTTTGAAATTGACTAAGTTGTGGTTGTATACTGAAAATCAAGACTGCCAAGGATTGCACTCTCTCTGAATGTATTCTTGTTAATAACAGAAATACAGCTGATAGTATAGTGTTGCTAGCAAAATAAAAAAAATACAAAAAGTTCAAAATTAATTATTGATTTTATATTTATTACATAAAAGGAAAACACAGTTATTTTTCTTAATTGTATTCGAGCCACCTTGTTAAGTCAGCTGAGCGATGCTGTACCATTAAACAGCAAATACAAGCAAAGAGCGAGAAACTCGATGTATTTGTCACCATGTGATCGAAGGTATCCCAATATTCCAAAAGCTCAGCCCAGTCTACATCAGTGGCATGCAAAAAGAATAAACAAACAGTATACATAAGTTTCTAACAAAGTTAAATGTAAGCGTTGAAGATTTGAAGCCAATCAGAAGAGCCACTCGTTAGTTATTTATTGCATATAAACTAATTCACCAATTTTAATTATTATAATCAAAAGGAAGCGTTAAACCTACCAGGGTCATACAGTGCTGCAGAGTAGGAATTGATGCAGGATCTAAGGATAAATAAGGGTGGAGATGAAGGTAAAGTTAGGAGAGGCTTTGAGGAGTGCTAAAGGAAGGATTATCAAAGTTTGTGTAATAAATCAGTTGCTGTCAAAATGTTGAAGAGGGAGTCTGTGTCAAAGGTGGGTCCATCAGCAAGGAGGGAAAATAAAGAGTGCGAGAGCAGTGACGACCTCGGAGGGAAATTCTGCGTGCTCGATGATAAACAGGACAGCCCAATAGAATATGGGAAACTGAAATAGGAACTAGACAATTCTCACAAAGTGGAACAGGACGCCTCTCCATGAGATGCCCATGAGTTAGACGAGTGTCTGATACTAAGATGAGAAAGTGTTGTCTCCCATCTCGGTATCGATGACAAGAAGGCCAGAAACCCAAACTTGATTTATTAGGACGTAATTTGTTATGAGTCATATCAGACCAACGTTGTTGCCAGCAGTTGTGAAGGTGGGGAGAGATTTAGAGCAAAATAGACAGAGAATGGAATACCTCTATATGAAACTGGTAGGTCATGTACTGCAGATTGCACAGCAGTGTCTGCCTGCTCATTGCCCTGAACATCAACATGACCAGGGACTCAACAGAAAACAATTTCTTCATTTGTGCTAATAATGCGGCATAACCAAAGTTGTATATGAAGAACTAGGGGATGAGGCGAATCAAAATTTTTAATACCTTGCAAAGCACTAAAGGAGTCAGAGACGATTACAAACTTTGAAGTAGGCATATATGTAATACGGATAATTGCAATGAGAATGGCATATAATTCAGCAGTAAAAATGCAAGCCGAGTCTAATAAATGACCTCGCACCACACTGTCAGAAACACTGCTGCAAACCCAATACCATCAGAGGATTTAAAACCATCAGTGTACACTGCAATGGCAAGTGAATGAGATCGGAAGTGATTAAAAAAAGGGTGAGAAGCAACTGTAGGGATTTGGGCTTTTGCGCATGGCAGGGGGTAAGAACAGACACAAACTGTCGGAACTTCCCAAGGGGGGAGTGAAAAGTTAGATGCTACTTGAACATATAAATGGGGCAACTGAAGAGAAGACAAAGAGAAAAGGGATGGAGTAAACAGGGGCAGTGAACAAATGGACTTCTGCTAACGTTCATTACTATCCTGTATGTAGAAGGATCGTGAAGGTCATGAGAGCGGAAAAAATAGCGGAGGCAATGAACATTATGATGATTGTTCAAGGATGGGACATTTGCTTCTGCATAGAGGCTCTTGACAGGTGAGCTAAAAGCACATAGACATAAACATAATTCCTGATGATGGATGGGACCGAGTTTAGAAAGAGTTGAAGAAGAGAGTACAGAATACATGTATATCTGGTCACCATAATCTAGCTTCCATAAAATTAGGGCTGAATGTAGTTGAAGAAAAGTTCGACGATCTGCCCCCCATGAAAGATGAGCGAGAGTTTTAAGGAGGTTCAGCTGGCTATGACAAGTTGCTTTTAAGGAGGTAATGCTAGTTTCCAAGACAACCGGTGATCAAACAGTAGGCAGAAAAATCTGACTGTATTACATTCAGGGATTCGTGAGCCATACAGGTACAATGGAGTATCAGGGACGATTGAACGTTTGGTGAAAGTAATTGTTTGTGTTTTAGCACTAGAAAATTTAAACCCATGAGTAGTGGCCCAATGGGAAACACTGTTGACAGCATTCTGGAGTGAGGCTGCTACTAGGCGACAGTCAGCGCATGCACAAGCTATAGCAAAATCAACATAGTGATGACCAAATATTAGAAGGGAGGACAGATGTCAGATCATTTATAGCAAAGAGTAAAAGGGTGGTGCTAAGGACACATCCCTGAGGAACACCTTCAGCTTGGGGAAAGCAAATTATTATCCCAAGCATGGAAATGTCTCTCAGATGAGAAGTTCGCAAGAAAAAAATGGCAGATTGCCTCGGAGGCCTAAGGAGTGAGCTTGGGCCAAGATGTATACCTCCAAGTAGTGTCATATGCCTTCTCAAAATAAAAAAAAAAAACTCCTATAACAGTGGTTACTAGCAAAGGCATTATGGAGATAGGTATCTAAGCGAAGTAAGGGGGTCAATAGTAGAGCAGCCCTTACAAAAGCCATGTTGGAAGGAGAGACTACTAAACACCAGCTTCAAAACTTTAGTCAATCAGAAGAGGCATTTTCTTATTTCAGAGAACATGCCAAAATACACCAGCACTTTGAAACCACTCAGTAGTTGTATGCTTAGGTTATTGGCTGTAAAAGGATGACAAAAATGCACCTGCCCCCTCTCAATAGTTCTGTGAACCTTCCCTTACAATTCACCAGCAGTGAAAATGCACGCTGGAGGAAAACAGAGTATATGCCCGGCTCGGCAAAAAAAAAAAAAAAAAAATGCATGATATTAAACCTCATTAAACATGAAAACACAAGTTTTTAATTCTTGTTTTTCATTTCTCAGTTATGGTCTGTTTCATGAACCAGGCCGTGGGGGGGCACTGATCCCCGAACACCCTCCCGGTATCTTAAAAGGAATTTGTTGTTTTGCAAAGTGGAATTTTCATATTAACACCACCCACAGTTCAGTAGCAATCCAAGAGCTTCCTTCAGGTAAGAAACATCAACATTGATGGTCTGATGAGTCATATGAGGCATTCACAAATTATCACACAAAAACCAATACAGTGTTCCAAATTTCAAAATTTATTCGTCTACAAATTGGCCCAGGAACGATGGGAAGGAGAGGGTAACATAGGTTTAAAGTACTAGGAACTTAAGCATCCAGCAAGCTTGTGTGGGTATGTTAGATCGGATTGAGCAGAGGCATTTGATTTTTAATGTATGATGTGCTGTTGGAGTATAAGCAAGATGACATGTAAGAGATTCAGGGAAATTGGTAAGCCCCTCCACTTGAGTTCTGTAGGTGAAGAGGATAGTGTCTGCACTCAGGAGATAAGGCAGTAGAGGGTCATCTGAATTATGTCAGCTCACTTTTCTTAAGTTAGCCTTAATTAAATGAAGGCAAAATGTTAAATTTTTTGAGTCATTAGTGGGAGACTGCCGAAGAGGTAAAGGAAGGTGTGCGTGCGTGCTCACCCCTCTGGTCAAACACATCAAGAAATTAGAGAAAGTGCAAAGGTTTGCAACAAGACTAGTCCTGGAGCTGAGGGGTTTGTCCTACAAGAAGTTATGGGAACTAAACCTGACAACACTGGAGGACAGGAGGGATAGGGGAGGGGGGGCAAATAAGGACATAAAATACTGAGAGGAATTGGCAAAGTGGATAAAGGCAGAATGTTGAGAAGACACGGCAACAAGGGGTCACAACTGGAAGTTGAAAACTCAGGTGAGTCACAGGGTTGTTAGGAAGTACTTGTTCAGTCATAGAGTTGTCAGGAAGTGAAAGTCTGGAGAGTGATGCAGTGGAGGCAGGATCCATACTTAGCTTTACGAAAAGGTATGATAAAGCTCATGGGGCAGGGAGTGTGGCCCTAGTAGCGACTAGTGAAGAGGCAGGGCCAAGAGCTATGACTCAACCCCTGCAACCACAATTAGGCAAGTGTACACATACTTAAGTATATATAAAACACACAAGCCGTCTCTCACTGAGGCAGGGTGACCCCCCCCCCTAAAAAAAAAAATAATTCGCACTATCACTGTCTTGCCTGTGGGGTTCCGATACTACAGTTCAGATGCCCCTCCAAACTGTAAATATCCCCACCCTTCCTTCAGAATGCAGGCACTGTACTTCCCACGAGGACTAAGTCCAACTAACGAGTTTATTTGTAAATGTGACCTTGCTCACACTCCAACAGCACAACGAGTCATAAAAACCACTTTCACTCCTATTTGATATGCTCGTGCATGCCTGCTGGAGTTCCAAACCCCTCGTATACAAGAGTTAAAGTGGAAAACTGAAGGAAGGAGTGGAGGGGAGAAAGATCCAGTGAAGCCTTTTCAAGCATTTTGAGGAAAGATTAGCAGCTTAGCTCTATCAGGAATGCTAAGAATATTCATTATTCATGCTTGAAAGTGTTTACAGAATCCATAGGGTGGGCAGAGACTGAAATAAGCAATTCTGATTTAAATTCTGTTTGAGGAAGAGGAAGGTGGTACTGGTGCTGAAAATGTGTTGTAACAGAAAGAGAATTATCTGAAATGATGAAAAATAAACCATAGCTAAAATCCTTATATTTATTCTTTACTTGACAGTTATGTTTATATAAAAAGAAAATTCAAATTCTATTTGGTATTGAGTAATGTCTCTCTCAAGACAGCAGTAAACATGATGGAGGCTTACCACAGACCCGTAGTGTTGCAACACGAGTATATCAGTTACTGCAGAATTCACCCTCTTTCATAACTAATGTAGCAAACTGCAAAATTTAACTGTTGTATTGCATTCTTGTAATGGAAGAAACAATCCACTGACATATTACCAAGTTTTGCATAAACAAAAAATAAAGCCATTCTCAGATTCAGAAAAAGCCTTTTTATCATTTGGAGAATAAATATCAACTGCTAGTTAAGTTCAGTAGTTACTTGCCTCTAAAACTAAAAAAAAAAAACTTTGCAGTGCCTCTCAAAAATGAAACCACTAAAAGAAAATGAAGCTGTTTTTCATCATACAGCACATGAAGTGAATAATACAGAAATCTCTGTTGCTCACACTGTCATCACTGGTGCCTGCAGAAAAGAGGCAAAAATCATTGCCTCACCAAGTCAAGTAATGACTTAGTACTATATTTTCCTGACAGCAGCACATAAAATAGCACTCCACAAGTGCACTCATGCTTATTATACCATTTACAAATTCATCTAGCTTTTAGATAGAATCACTGCTGTAACAAATAGTTTGTGTTGGAGGAGTTGCATTCCTTTTAGTATAATATATACAATTCTGAAGGCTGAGGGTAAAACAAGTAACCATAAACTATACATATTTTAGTCATGTTCCCCTTATTAAAACATCAAACTTTTAGTACAATGTACAGAGAAAGAGAGTTGATATACAGAAATTTTTTCTGAATTTATAATACTTGGTTTATTCTACAAAAGTGATCCCTTGAACAACATTTTTTATAATGTTTATGAAGAGCATTTCTTGCTCTTTTCACTCTCAGCACTTAAGAAGCAGTTATAAATATTGCATAGAGAAATACAAGTACATTATGGCCACATTTTACAGCAACACCTAGGGAGGTATGCATCCTAAATAACATACTAATTCATTTCATGATCAAATTTGTTTTTGATAATGTAATTAGTTTTGCATAAAAAGGCATGTAATATCTGAAAATGCTGTTTCAACTCCTCTCCATCCATATTATAGCCATCTGGACATACTTTAAGATGCCACTGGAACATGATACATACTTTGTTATCTATTTGAGAATCACAGCACAGTGAAAATTTTTATGAACCAAATTTTTAAAGGCAACTTCTAATAAAGCAGTTTATTGCCAATAAACCTCTGGTTCTTTGATCACTAACTGGGAATCTCATTCTGACTTGCACAGTCTTTACTACAGAAAATGCTTTGATTCACAAATATCAATATTGAACATTGTTTAATTCTGCACAAAAATGCAGTAATAAGCAGAAAGGCTTGTTATTAATTTCTTTCTGAATGCATAACATACGATAATACGTATGCCTATCATCCAAGTGGTATAGGTATTGTGCCAAATGAGCAGAATTGGCCATTTTAGGCTTGTAAAGTGATGGTTCTTTGTCAAATAAGCAGTGAAAATTTATTTCTGAACATAAAATAAACATGTATTGCTGATGTTAAATAATACTTGGTAAATTCAGACTGACCTAAAATGTATTTAGTAGGATTAAGCTAAATTATATTGTATTAACTTTAGCAAATTTAGGCGAGGTGTCTGAGTTTTGGGGCAATGTTAAATTTTTTATGCAGCATTGCTAGTGCCGAGTGACACCTATGGGTTAATTTGATTATATTATTGCTATATAGCAATGTAATTAAAATTATATCAAAGGCATGAATTTTTTTTCAAAAAGATTGTTTTAGAGCAGTTCTGCCTAATTGCCCAATTCTGTTTATTAAGCATGACATAGGCATTACATTTTTATTGGTAACAGCACATACAGCCAGTCCTTGACTACAACAGTCAATAAAAAAAATTTGCACAATAAATACATTCACAACAGAATTTGACTCAATGCTCAAGACTTGCTAAATTAACTGCACATTTACTTTACATGTTACTGTGTCCATATTCTTAAGACACCCTGCGAGATCAAGCAAGTCCGTATTATTATTATTATTATTATAATCAAAAAGAAGCGCTAAGCCACAAGGGCTATACAGCGCTGCAGGGTAGGGAAGGAAGCAAGGGAATTGGATGGCAGAAGGGAGGGGGGATGATCCGCAGGTTACAGAAAACAGCGGGGCAGGGGATAGTACGGGGGTAGAGGGTAGCAAGAGATACAAGTAGAAAGGGCTGAAAGTATCAGAATTTGTGAAGTAAAATCAGTCGTGTCAAAAAGTCAATGAGAGAGTCCCGGATGA